TGAGGGGACAAAGGAGACGGAACAGGAGGGGCTGAGGGGACACGGGAGGGGGAGAACGGGAGCGACTGAGGGGACCGGAAGGGGAAACAGGACGGGCTGAGGGGACACCAGAGGGGCTGAAGGGATACGGGCGGGGCGAGAACGGGAGGGGCTGAGGGGACACAGGGCGACCGGGAGGGGCTGAGGAGACACGAGGGTGCTGAGGGATTACGGGAGGGACTGAGGGAACACGGCGGAAACGGGAGGAGCCGAGACACGGCGGCACTGGAGAGCACCGGGCGCCACTGGGACACAGCGGCACCGGGAGGGGCTAGGGTACAACGAGGCAGTGAAGAAACCTTTTCCTCATATCCATCCTAAAACTCTCCTGGCACTCATATCCTCTCATCCTTCCTTGTTACGGGGAAGAGAGCGATCCTGTCAGGGGGCTGTAGAGAGGGACAAGGTCCCCCTGAGCCCCTTTGCTCCAGGCTGAGCCCCTTTCCCAGCTCCCTCAGCCCCTCCTGCGGCCTCAGCCCCTTCCCAGCTCTGTTCCCTTCTCTGGACACGCTCCAGCCCCTCAGTGTCCCTCTAGTTGGGCCCAAAACTCACTCTAGGATCTGAGGTGTGGCCTCAGCAGTGCCCAGCACAGGGACAGTCACTGCCCTGGCTCTGCTGCCATTGGAACAGGCTGCCCACGGAAGTGCTCCAGAAACTGCTGGATGTGGCACTCGGGGACAGCGGTGGCCTTGGGGACAGTGGTTCAGTGCTTGGCAGTGCTGGTTAACAGCTACACTTGATGATCTTCAAAGCTTTTCCCAGCCTGAAGGATTTGATGATTTTTCTGATTCCAGAGCTGAGGCCATGCCAGTTATCCACAAGCATGAGCCCGAGGTTTCCCCTCATTCTGAGCATGGTGCCTCACATGTTCATGGATGGAAGGTGCTCAGCAGAGCCGAGGTGCTGCTGGAATTGTGGTGTTTCATTTCTCTGCTATGAACAGCCCTCATTTAGACACAGCATTGCTGTGACAGCACAGGATGTGTTCAGGCCTTCCTGAGGTTTGAAGTCATTGTGGCAGCTTTGCAGAGAAATGGCTTCTAACAGGATTCCCACTTAGCTTTTCACTAATTCTGCCACCAAAGTCTTGAAAATGAGAGAGTACATACCTTAAAAAGCAAAAAAAACCCAACCCAACCAAAAAAACCCAAAACAAAAACAATCAAGCAAATAACAGCAGCAACAAAATAGGAAAATGTGAAATCACCCCTTTGGTGGTAAATGTCTTACAAAAGGTTATTCTTGAACACTGAAATCCAGTGTTGTTTCTCAGGTAAAACTATCAATGCTGTGAAAAGTACAAAACTTGGAGATGTCCAAGTCACACTCAGTTGGGGAAAATAATAGTCACTCCAAACACAAACCTTTGTGTCCAGTATTGCAAGACTGGAAACTTCTTTTGTTTGACATATAATCAAGAATTTGTAGTCAACAGAACTTAATGTCTTGTTCCTTCCAAGAAGGGGAAAGATGTAAACAAGTGAGCTGAGTCCTGAGAGGCAAAGGGTCCTGTGGCAGCCAGGAACATGGCAAAGCAGGAGGACAGTAATGAATAAACATTCATCAGCACTGTCGGGTAAAGAGCTTTAAAAACATGTGACTCTGTGTTCAGGCTGCCTCCTGAGATGGCACATGCCAGGATTTGCTGAAGAATCCTGTGGCTCAGCAGCTCTTGATGATAGGAAAGGGCACTGAGTTACAGTTTCCTGTTATCCCTTATGTGAGCCTCTGCTCTGGTTACTCACTAGATACACCCTGTGTGACAAATTCACATGGAGCTGCTGATCTGACCCCCTCCCAGACCTTTGCTCCAACCAGATTACATGTCAGTCACCTCGTGTTTTGGGAGGAAAAAGTCACTGGGGTGAAACTGGGGAGGCACCGAAACGGAGCCCGTGCTGGCTGCAGCAGGGATTCACCTCCCCTCGGGCATGGCCAGCACCACTCATGGTCTGTCCTGTCCCAAAAACACTGAGCTCAGCACACTGACAGCCAGAGGGAAATTTTGGTAGCTCATTTTAGGGGCTCGTTATGTCAATTCACACAAACGACCCTCTGTAAGACAGGAGCCACCAGCACTTTAAAAAGCAGCTCCAGGAGAAAACTGGAGTGAGTTCTATGTAATATCTGCAAATCTGTCACTCTCCGTGTGTCTCCACAATTAGTTCACTTTATTTTAAATGCAGAAGCTGTTTTGAGAAGCTAAATTCTGTTCCCTTGTGATATCTCAGAATAAAGGAGCAGAGGACAAAAATGGAAGTGCAAAATGCCATAGTAAATACATTTCTCTTTTTTCATTCGTTCCGTATTTCATCACGAAGGACTCAGAATACAAAACTGAGTCTCACATAAATAATCAATTCCAGAGCTTTACAGTGGAACTTGGGATGATGATAAATGTCACAGATATTCTGAGCTGAAAGCCCTAAATTTCAGTCAATTTCAGTCAAATTTCAGTCAAATGTTGTTTTGTCAGTGTACCTGGGCAGCACCTGGGCAGTGCCCAGAGTTACCAGCTCTCATTTCACTGCTTCCAGAGCTGATGCAATGTTTGCCAGGCTTTAGGAGAGACCAACAGCCTGATGAAAAATCCATTTGCTGTTAAGCTTGAGAGGCAAAATGGAAAAGGAAGAAATATCCAGACAGATGACAGCGTGGATGAGAGGAAAAGTCCAGTAAATTACAGTTGGTTCTGTGTGGGTGTCTTGTGATGCTGAGAGGCCAGCAGGGGCTGACGTGTTCGGTGCTAAAGTACAAAGGGGCTTTTCTGTGCCATCCCAGCTCTGCTTGTATAACAATGACTCAGCTCTGCAGCCCTGGCTCGCAGCCAGCGTTGAAATTCTGCCTGCCAGAGCATTTTTATCCCCAAAGCAGCACTGAAAGCAGCTACATGTTTGTGGGCGAAAGAGAATTAGGAACTGTGGATGTTTTTTTATATCTCATAAGCAGGGAACTAGGAGTTCTGTACAGCTGACAGCACACTTTAAAAAACGGAGGTGGTTCAAAGTACGTGGTTTGTTCAGGGGGGAAAATGGCTGTGCTTGGGTTTTAGTCTCCCTGTGGTGGAGGGGGAAACATTCCAGACGTTTTCCTCACCATCAAAGGACCCAAGCTGGATCTGAAAACAAAATGCAGGAGGTGACACCCCCGGCTGCTCAGAACGGCCTTGGCGGTGTTTGTTTTTGTTCACTGTTACAGAGCTTCTGTTGAACATACTAACAATGATTAACAGTGGTTTAGGACTGTTTCTTCTGCATGTTTCTTTGGCCATTTCTTCTTCTGTCTGCCTGTTTCCCAAGGAACCTCTCTGTTGTTTTGCTGGAAAGCCTCGCCCCAGAAAGCTGAACGTGCTCAGAGGCAGCAGAGGAGGTGAACAAAGCAGCTCCCTCCCTGCACTGCAGCTTGGATGGGATCCAAACCATCCCCGGGCAGGAGGGAGATGCAGACAAGGAGCTGCAGAACAGACCCAGTTATTAGTTAGAGCTGTTGCTTTCACTGGCACACCACGCCGGCACAAACCTGTGATTTCAGCCCTTTGCAAAATCCCCTTTGGACGTCTCCTGCCAGCAGAGCTGTCACATGTCCCTCTGGGTCACCCAGAGCTGCCCAAGCCTGTTTATGGTGGCAGCACAGATCTGAAAGCTGAATCCCATGTGTCCTACAAAGCTAAAATACACCTTAGACAGACAGGGGGACAGAGGAGTA